CTTCTTATGAAATTTCAAGATGCTATTGTTGGTTGTTTTGACGTAATTTAGGATTTAATTTTCGGTATATTTCTTTTTTCATCTGCCTGTCCTGCTCCACAATCCCCGTTCAAGCCTTTTTTCTAGTTATAAACAGTTTAGGGCCACCTGTGGCCGTTTGGTTTTAAGTGGAAACTGTCTCTTTAAATTTCGAGGAGATCTGTGCGCATGCGTAGTAGAACCTTCTGAGGGTGGGGCAGGGGAGTCCACTCGCTCAGGCACCCCAATAGTCACCAGAATGGAGGTGCGCAGACAGCGAGGGGCTAATGAGCAGATACCAAAGAAAAAGAATGTCCATACCTTTATCTCGTGGTTCTGTCAGGCGTCCGTGGCTGCTCTGATCCTTCCCTGCTCAGTCCCACCTAAGATGGCGGCTCCTGGAGCAGCTGAGTGTCTTGAATTAGAAAGCAATGGATTTCTTGCTTCTGCCACAAATTCCCCTAACGGTAAGCCTTCCAACCTTCTAAATATTCCTTTATATGTTGTTCAGAGTTCTGGCACCATCTTCTGAGCCTGCTTGGCCCGGTATTCTGTGTTGTTGCCGACGGGGTTCTTCTCTGCACTTCCACCTGAGCTGCCATCTTGTTTGTTCTCACACACACACATTTTTAAGTGCCGTCAAGTCATTCCGACTCATAGTGACCCTGGCATAGTGTTTCTGAGGTGCAGCTGGTAGGTTTGAATCGCTGACCTTGTGCTTCAAACCCAACTTGCAGTCCAGTGCTTTGTCCCACACCGGTTTTAACCACAAAGCTGGCAGTTCAAACCCACCAGCTGCTCTTTGGAAACCCTACATAGGGTTTTTCTTACAATTCATATATTGTCTGTGTCATATAGGTATATAATTTATTAATTATTTCTGCCTGGATTTTGATTCATCAGCATAAAACAGTTCTAAATGGTACCCAAGGCATTCTTTTCCTCTTAGACTTCACTACTTCTAGGGAGTCTTTAATAAATATCTAAAGTTTTTTTTACGCACCCCCCAAATCCATTCTCTAACTCAAAAGGTTTCTAATTTTCTCTAGAGTTGGTATAGTAGATGAAGAAGTATTAAATGCTAAGTATATAGCAAATGTACTGGCAAAGGCAGACCACCTTCTCATTAGCCAAAGCGATTCACCTGCAAAAAAAATCTAGTAGGATTACCATGGACAAGAATGAATCTAAGACACCAGATTTAGGGCAGCAAATATTGGTTTCAAAGTCAACCTGGGATTTCAGGAAAGTCCTAAGTCATCAGGCATCAGAAGAGGGCAAACCAGAGTCTTGGATTTTTCTGCAGGATAATCTAGCCAATTACTGAAAAGTTCTCGAGATTAGAGCAATCTTCTATCCATCTCTTAGAAGGTAGAGAGTAGAGCAGACCCTAGGCACCCTGAGTTAGTATTATCTAAATAAGCTCACCTTTGTGGCCATGGTCTTCACCCCATGAATTCTCCACTCTCCATTTCATGAATGTTCCACCCTGATCATCCTGTAAAAGAATGGACAATCACATATAGTCTGAAACTAGGCTCTCCCTGTTGAAGTGTCATGTGCTTTTAGCTCTTCTGAATATACTCAGAGTCAACAGCCTGCTCTATACAGTTATGATATACATGACCAGAGACATATTATTACCTGTGTGGTGCTATTAGCACCTGTTTTAAACACAAAGCTGGCAGTTCAAACCCACCAGCTGCTCTTTGGAAACCCTACATAGGGTCACGATGAGTTGGAACCAACTCAACAGCACTTAACAAAAA